GGGCATGATAGATATCTACGCTCCAACTTGAGGGGGGGTGTCAGATTTCTAGGAAATAAATTAGGAAATTCAATTTTTGAAACTAAAATCTGAAACTACTTTTTCAGATTTTAGTAGTTTCTGTTTCCTGTTTTCTAGCCTAGAGATTTGCTGATTTTGTGGGCTTCCTGATTTGGTGGCCTTCCTCTACTATTTATCTTGTAATTGTCTCTCTTGAAAAATAAGAAGACTGAATATTTTTCTTCTTAAAAAAACCTTCATTTTCCATAGGTTTTTGCATTACATCTATTTGTAATTACGCCTTACCTCAAGGGGTGTAAGTGTAATTAACCCATTCAAATAAAATATGAATAAAGATATTTCCGTTCCTTCAAGAGAAAGCTTTTCCTAAAAATCCCTTTCCAGAATATTTTGAATCTTTTTTTTCTTTTGGTATTTTTATTGAGATAACATATATCTTTGAGGAGGTCCATGTATGTCAAGAGTTTGCATTATTATTATCACTGTTGCTACAACTACTATTGCTGTTATTTTGCAAGTACCACATCCAAACCTATGCCATCTAGCTTTGGAAATTAAACTTGAACACAGGGCTGCAAAAGAGTGAAGCCAAGCTTTGGCATATTCGACCTTAACCTCAAGCTCGAGACAAGCTCATATATTAATGTTTGAGCTCGGCTCGACCATTAATTGTTGAGCTCGAACTCAATACACTGGCATGCATAAAGCTCAATCTTCAGCCTGTTCTCGAATTCGAGCTCGTGCCTATGATTGATAAGGACAAAAATTGATTATAAATCAAACCATCCCTAATAAACGAGCCATGTTCATTAGGTTTAACTAGCCTGTTCACAGACACCTATTTATTAACATGTTTGCAAGCCTAATGAACCGAGTAATAAGTTGTTTGGGATGGGCTCGTTTGTTAAACGAGCTTAAAAAACAAGCTTGATCTCGGATTGTTCGGAAAACGAGCTTGAGCCAAACTTTAATTGCCCAAACTGTTCATGAATTACTATTATTGCTTTTACTTTGCAAGTAGCACATCCTTTTTTGCAAGTTAAACGAGCTTGATCTCGGCTTGTTCGACAGACAAGCTTGAGCCAAACTTTAATCGCCCAAGCTGTTCATGAATTACTACTATTGTTTTTATTTTTTTTTGATAAATATTGTTTTTATTTTTGCAAGTAGCACATCCGTTTTTGCAAGTGGCACATCCAAACCTGTGCCATCTGGCTTTGGGACCTAAACCTAAACACAGGGCTGCAAAAGAGCCAGGCCGAGTAGTGCTTTGGTCTTTTCAAGCTCTACCACGAGCTTGAGTCAAGCTCAGATATTAATGTTTATCTTGGCTTAACCATTACTTGTTGAGCTCGAGCTTGAGACATTGGCTTGTTTCAAGCTCAATCTTTAGCTCATTCTTGAACTCAAGATTGAGATTATGATTGATAAGGACAAAAAATCGATTATAAATCCAAACAATCCCTAATAAATGAGACACTTTCATGAGTTTTTACAAGCCTAATGATAAGTGCTCAAATATAACGCATTTTAGCACCTAAGCTAGGGTATTTTAGTCCATTCATCTATCTTACTTTCATGTTTTAGTACTTATTTGTGTTTTTGCTTATTTCAGGTCAATAAAGTTCAAACAGGCTAAGAAGAGCCATTTAGCTCAGTTTTGGAGTTAAGGAGCAAAGCTGGAAAAAAGTCAAGAAATTTGCATCAAGGGGATCTTCGATCGATCGAAGGAAGTCCCGATCGATCAAAGAAGGCTACAATCGATCGAAATTAAGGCGGTGCCAGCTCAGCAATCCGGATAAGGCCCAGAAGATATTTTCATGCCACGTCATCTTCGATCGATCGAAAACCCCTTTGATCGATCGAAATGGTTGCTGGCAGTGAGCTGTCTAATTCCCGAGCGCACCAAACTCTACCTACTTTTTGTAGTGGTGAATTTCCACCAATTAGAGGCAATATTTCTGACTTGCTGCCTACTCAAAGAGGCTTGTAATAGATTCATTGAACCAACTTTTGGAGAGGCTACACAATTAGATATTTTACCACTTATAGAAATAGTTTTCTCTCTAGAACTTTGGGAAGAAAGCAAGGATGAAGATGATGCCAACCTCCAAACTAACCCTTGAAGGTTCCATGGCCACTTCAATGAGTGGCTAAAACCTTCTCTTGGGGCTAGAGATAGCCCATAGGCTTGCTTCCTAAACCCAGCTTTTGTACATTTTTGGGGATTTAGTTGTAATTGATGTTTTGACCATGAATAAATATAGATCTTATGATTTTTACATGATTTGTATGGATTAATGCTTTCAATTGATCATTTAATTCTATCCATATGTCTATGTATGGTAGAATGAATGTTCATGTGTTTTTCTCTAGATTTAATGAAATTGATGCATGTCTATGTGTGTTGATGTTATTAATCTAGTGATGGTCAAAGCATGGTGCTTAATGTAATAAATCTTGTGAATTATTTGATGGTTCATACTTATTTTTTGATGGATTGTGCCACATCCTTAGTTTAATTAGCTTAATTTTCATGTCATTAGCTTAGTTGTAATTTAATTGCTTTAATTTCTTAGATAGGTGGACAATCTATTTTTGTTGTTTGATGTTCCACACTTACGAATGCAAGAAGTACATTTCTCTATATTTTTGTGTGTGCACTAATTGTGGTTTAATTGAATGGTTAATGGTCTCATTTGATAGTTTATGCTACTCATTAGATTGATTAGACAATCTATGTTTATTTGTTATCCATGCTTAGTTTTAAATTGGTGACACACACACACACAAGTTACAATATGAATTTCCCCATTAATTTACAATTGCTAGTGTTTGGTGAAGTGAAGCTTAATGGTGAGCTCAATGCCCCAAGACCTTTCTCTCATATTACTTTCTCTACTTTCTAGATTGTCATTTTATTTTATTGTTTTAATTGAACCAATAATTTAATTAATCAAATCAAACCCCTCTTTTGATCATTCGACCTACTAATCCAACATTGATTCCAAGAATACCTTGCCTTTCCCTTGGGACGATCCCTACTCACTTTTGCTACATTAGTAGTTAGTAGTGGTAGTGGCATTCTATAAATTTAAATTTGGCCACACTTTATCACTCGCACTTGAGGACACACCACCTAACCACAAACACTTGTTCATAAACATGTTTATTAAACAAACTTTAACAACAAGCTCAATCTCAGCTAAATTTGAATGCCACCCCTCTAATCATATAAAAGTAAAGAGGAATGTTGAAGTAGATAAAAAGGTCCTCAACACAAAAGCAAGATGGAATGCAATGATGAAAACGGCTTTTTTTTTTTTTTTTGATAAGTAACAATGATGAAAACGGGTTTAAAAAGGTCATCAGTACATAAGCAAGATGGAATACAAATGATGAAAACTTTTGAAATGCAAGCATGTGAGCCCAGAAATTCATTATTGTTTTTATTTTTAGAGCAAGTTATACTTTTGAAAACCAAGCCAAGTTCAAACAAGCTTTCACAAAATGCACAATTACAGAAGAAAAAAAAAAAAATTTGAGCTTCCAACGGTAAATAAATACAGAGTTACATATGAAATTCAGAATGGAGCAAACTTTTGATCATTGAAGCACAAGAGATGAAGATAAATGATAATACCGTAAGATTAGTACTGACAGCAACCATATGCTTTGCAACTGCCTGAGGCCTGAAAAATTATATACCCAATTTAATCCATGTTAAGTATGACCAGAAAGAGAGGTAGTTTACAGTCAACCCCATAATCACTGTGATAGTTTCTAAAAGTAGTCCTAGATTTATACACTACAATTATAGATGAAACCCGTATTAACTTGTTTTTCTTTTCTTTACATGCATTAGTTTCTCGCTTTCAGTTTGATTTGCAAACCTTTGACAGAATTAATGCTAATAAATCCTGAAACAATAAACTACCACCACATTTAAATCTCAAAAGAATGAACTTTTTTTTTTTCTGCACCAACCCTAAAGCAGATGAGATCCATTCCCTCAGCGTCCGAGCATTCAACATTGTTTCGGCCGTTGTAAAAGTTTTTGAAACCACCACAACTGCAAATAACAAAAGGAATCCCAATTACTAAGATATGAACGCCCAAAAGTAGCTCATATAGTATGTAGTGTAGCAGAAATGTAGAACGAAACTTGTTACCTAATGTAGTTTCAGGGTTCAATCCTGTGATATTTCTTGCAACATCAATTGGATCAACATTTGCAAGACTGCAAACATTGAAAAATTAATATATTGGATTAAGATAAATCATTGCTCAATCATAAAATGTCAATGTTGTGTGCATAAATAAGCAGGCCTGCTGGGTGCAAGAAGTCAGCAGATTTTAACACATCTCCCATCAAAAATCAAAATCATGCAACATATCATGATTGTATGCATTGCATCATGAGTGGACTCCATTGGATCACCAAAATTGGACTGGACATCACACATAGTGGAGTGGTCTCCAAGGTGATTCATGAGATCTAAAACCCCTTCATGGACCATGTATAGCTCTGTATTTTGTAATCACCTTTCGCAGTTGTGTGCACATGCAAGACATATCTTGACAAACCTCAAAATTTGAAGTATTTACTTGGTTCATACATTAGAATGACAACACAGAAACTAAAACACTAAAAATTATTGAAATCCTAGATATTATAGGAGTAGTCCATTTTAAGCTTTGAGAAACAACAGTCTAATTTCCAACACTATCTTTAGCAAAGAGAAACGATCGCATCTGCATAAGTCAATTCCTTCACATAACCTGAAGAAAAGCATAACACAGGTTCACCTAATTCATAATCCTAAGGGCCACAGCATCTGCCAGCCGAAATTAAAATATTATCTCATGCAGCAGAAAGTAAAAAACATGAAATTATGACTGATCATATAGGAATTAGGAGGTCTTATCATTTCAAGATAAAAGAGCATCTGAAGCAATTAAGTTTGTAGTAGCATGTACACTTACAAACGCAGTTGGCGTCCTCTTGCACATTCAATAGCCTCTGGATCTGTAAATTGACAACATAGAACATAAACACTTTGCAAGTTTTCATTAAACAATTTGATGTTAAAACAACAAGAAATATTCTAAGAGCAAAAGATTAGAGAACATCACGGATTGCAGATTGGTATACATCAAATCGACCTGTTTGGAGGGCGGTGTGCACAAACAGAGGACCTAAGAAGCTGCCACCAATACCAATAGCAACAACATCCTTTAGTGCTTTTCCTGTTGCTCCAACCTACCATTCTTTGCGTATTAGTCAACACTTAGTGATGCATAACTGAATCAGAACATAAATAAAAAATTTAGATTACCCAGGAACCACTGCGAACCCTCTCAGAGAACTCCCGGATCTTGTCCAGAACTTGCCAAACATCGGGGACCACATTCTTCCCATCACTTTGTATAACTGCATCCTTTGAAGCACGAAGGGCAACGTGAAGAACCGACCTATTCTCTGTGCTGTTTATCTGAAGGAGCCACCCAAAACAAAGGATCAAATGTCATGAACTCAGAAGATTTGAGCAATGTGCAAGTTTTACCATTACTAATGAAAAAAATGTGAAGAGTTCTAAAACTGTTTCAAGATCAAATGCAAAATATTAGGATACCTACTATTCAGAAAGGTGCCTCTAAATAATACATAAAAAGGCCAAAACAGCCATTTTCAGTGACAAATCAAGATGCAATACTGTCTTTACAGAAGAGCAGTTTCCCACTTCTTAAAAATAATGATTTCTAAATTAGCGAACTTAATAGATAGGTAACTTTATGTCGGTTCATCTATGGTGTGAAGTAAAACATATACTTACATGCTCCCCGTTGAACATTCTATTAATCTTTTGTTTGAGACATGTTGCCTGCATTAGAAAATGAGGAAGCATAATTAGTATGCCATATTGTCTGTGTCCTCAAAAAGGAAATGGTCCAACCCACCTCTGCCAATTTGAAGAGTTTATCCAAGGTGTCTAGGGTGGCACACTGCCTCGAGTAGTCCAATAGTAACCCATCAAACTCACTATAAAAAGTAGTACCAAAGTGAAAACATTATTCAAACACTATAACTTTGTAAAGAATCACAATCCACTTCTCACTTAATAAGACCTATACTTCACCCAAACATCAAAATGTGAAGAGAATACATATATAAATATATATATATATATATACACACACACATATAAAGGTTTAAGAGGCCAGCTAAGTAGCATACACCATCATTGACTTGCATCGCGCAGTGTCACCCATCAATTCTCGTAAATGAGTCTTTTTAATATCATTAACATGAGCCTGCATAAAATATATGGTTCACATCAAATATACATTCGTAATTTCTTCGATGACACTTACACAATAACATCTTGCAAAACCATAATATTTTTATTACCTTCAAGTCCTTCCAGGGCTCTATGTCACAGATAAGGGTGGATGAAGCCATCTGCAAGAATTTCAAAGCAATTCACAAATCAAATTTCAGCCCCTAACACTACTAGCAGCATATGCTATTCTAACTTGTCTCGATGCAAACAAATGAGTATGTGCATCAATTCTGTCCTCTTTGATTACCACAACCTTGAAAGAAAGTTTTAAACATCAGGGGAAGCAAAGAACTCCTGACATAAATTGGTTTCATCGTTTAAGTTTTTATATACTTTTATATATATATATATATTTATTTATTTATTATTTATTATTTTTCCTCCTTCCTTTGGCCTATTTTCTTTCATTTTCCAAGCGATCAAACGGAGGATTGATTAGTAGCTAATATTTATAAACCAATGCAAAAACCTCTCAGTACGATACAGGCAATCTGTTAGGGCACAACGGAAGCACATCATCATCATCACCACATCAACAATCACACAAGCATATGGAGATACAATCATTCATCAATCAACACACAACACAATATTTTACGTGGTTCGCCCAACCTCTAGGGCTACATTCACCGGAGATAACTTTCACTATTATGAATCACGAAAGAGAATATACAACTAAATGCAGTCTCAAATGGTATAATAATTCCAAACAAGTGCAGATTCAACAAAGCTTTTGTTTTGGATTCATTTGATTGATTTTGAAAGAAAACACAAATGAATGATCGGATGGATTGAATGAACAGAGCAATCGGATAGGTAATACAAGGTGTACTGAACGATTAGAAATTAAATCATCAACCGGAAATCAAATATAGATTATAGCGGAAAAAAAAAAAGAAAAAAAGGAAAGTCAAATCGCGATTACCGGTGAATTTTATTGAACAATTAAATAACAATATAGCCAAATGAACGAAGAGAATGAAGATGGTGTTGAGCATATACCTGAAGGTGATAGATATATAGATTTGAAAATTGAACTATGTGAACTGTGTGTTGATGAAACAGGTTGATTGATAAATAGGGCTGCACTGAAGCTGTGAATACCTTGTGCGGCTAAACCGGTGGTATGAGGTCACGTGACATTGTAACGAATTGACGATGAGAGCGCGTGTGGCTTGTATAGGCGGATCGCAATTACTATAATTTTAAATTTTTATTATGAAAATATAATTTTTCCAAGGTAAAATTAAATTACCATTTACCATTCTTGAAAGTTAACATCACAATTACAGGGTGAATAATGTTTTATATTTTGAGGAATTTTTTTTTTGTCACGTATTAAAATCAGACATTCCTCTTAATATTCTCATTGGAATTATATTTACTAAATTTAGGATGATTTGGAAATCTTCATTCATAACAAAACATCTAATAAACTTGGGCTTAATGCATTCTTAAATTTTTAAGCTCATGTTAAATTTGAACTTGCAAATTGAACTGAAATTAAAAAGTTAAATTTGTGCTCTCAACTTTGATTGATATATTAGTTCAAAATGGGGGTTGTAATAACAAATAAAATAACATTAACATTTTCATAACTAGAATGATTGAAAATATAGGCATGACATTGCAACAAATTAATCAAGAACTAATAAGTTATTGTTTTTTTAATTTATTTATTTATTTTAACAAAGAACTAATAAGTTAAATATGTCATATACCTTACAAGTGAACCCACTACATAACTAATTATGTGCAACCAACACCTATCAAGGGAGGAACTATGGTTTTTTTTTTTTTTTTTTTGACTGGCACTGGAACTCACCTGAGTAGAGCCCCTTTGGGACCCACCCCAGGCTATAAACCGGGGAGAAACTATGTTGCCCCCATCCTAAAATTTATTTTCCTCTATTTTTTTTTTTTTTCCTTTTAAATCCGTAATTTATAGGACTCTAAGATAGTGGAAATAAATGTATTCAAAAGATTTACTTGTCAAAGACATATTAAGCCCCTAAAATTTTGAAGTTCCTATTAAATGGAGTCTAAGTTAAGGTTATCATAAAAATTACTACCTCAGTTCCAAAAAAAATGTCGCTTTTGAAGAACCGTGATGATTCCAAAAATGACATTTTTTATGAGATATTAAATGGTAACCCACCATTGCCAATCTCAATTCGAAATCAAGTTTTATTTTTGGAAATCCACACACACACACATATTACTTTGACATCTATGAGGTTAGTTGTAATGGGTGGGCGCTTCTTTATTTATAAAAAAAAAAAAAAACTGCATACATACCTATTTCACTTTTCCATCTTGATCAGATGTGGGATAAGCTCCCCCTTGTTACATTCCGCCTCACCCAAACTCGCAACGCTCTCGTTGCGATCGGGCCACCTTGTCTATCCGGACGCTTGGTGTAACACCGGATTAAGAACTATATCTAACTCTGATACTAACGGTAACGAGTGGACGCTTATCCATCTACCCAAAAAACTTAAGTTATTAGGTAATACATATCCATCCATTTATACCTATTTACTTTTTCATCCGAGTTCAATGTGAAACAAACTCCCCTAATTACATTAGATTTAATTATCATCATATAAAAGTTTTTAGACCTTAGTTTATTAAAACCCCTCGGGTTTCAAATGGTTGCAATATACCCCCTTCGTTTTTTTTGGAGCAACAAATACTCGCAATTTACCAAGTGTTGCAAATTACCCCATTTGACTAATTGAGGAATAACCAGAGTTAAGGTATGACATAAAATTGCAAAAAAAACTTATAGATAAGAAACTTAAAATAAATAAATAAATAATTAATTAAAACAATAAATGCATATTCCCAACAATTCAACACACCACCACACTCATAACTCAATTTTCAATTATCAGTTAATGCAATTGTTAATTGAGGTCAATCTTTTTGTCATTATAGAACTTTCAAGTGGGAGCAAACATTCGGATTATTCAAAAAATAATTATTATCTTGAAAACTGAGATCAATATACTCATCTCAGGTCAATCATACCAACACAGTCGACACAAATCGTCCTATTATTGAGTAAAAAATTCATCATACTATATGATTTATGGGGTAATTTAATCAAATCCTACCAACCAGTAATTTATTCTCTAATTTTATTATTTTTACTATTATATTTGGCAATAGGTTAGTGAATTTAGAAGGTTAGAAGCTAAAGAAAAAAATCATATTGGTAGATTTCGAACCCAAACCAAATGTCCCAAACAATATAATACAGTATTTGTTTGTAAGAAACAAACTATAACTTAATGGACTTGAACAAACTTAATGACTTTTTTTTATTAGAAAAAAAAAATACTTAAGGAAATTTCAAACTATTTTTCTTTTTTAATTTTTAATTTTTATTTTTTAAGTCAAGATTTATTAAATGATACATTATAAAATTAATGGGGGATTCTTGTGATGAAAGAAATTCTCTCCAGTTATTTTCTTACTCCACAACGTTCAGTGAGTAACGGCGGTGATCAACGCCACCTTCCCAATATAGTCTTGTCAATCACCAAGTCAAGAAAGATTTTTTTTTTTTTACCATATGTATGAATACCATTTTATACGTTATACTTTATATAATAGATTATATAAAATATATTATTATACAATTTAACTTTACTTTTTGACTGAAGTTAAAATAAATTAAAACTCAAAATAACCTCACTTTAAAACAATTGAACAAAAATTAAAATATATATACAAAACATGCTACTAAAACAAAATTATAAGGAATAACAAATCATATAATTATGGGTTATTAGGGTTAGTATATCCCTACCTCAAAAATAGATCTAAATCACTCTATTCTCAAAACTTCTCCAAACAGAAAATTTTGAACCGTAGCTATGTAGGATTCGGTCGAATTAAACAATTTTAATTCTTGTACCACAAACTAAATCTTACCCCCTAACCTTAAATTCTAAAGAAAAGGATTGAACAAAAAAGAAAAAAAAAATGTGGCTAAGGTTCTGGTTTTTTTTTTTTTTGGACAATACTTACCTACTCACCGGTGACTAGGAAGTATATGCTTACCTTGATATGGTGCAAAATTAATGAAATACGTGTTCCTATAATATAAAATAATAAAAATTAAAAGATTTGAGAGGTTATTCATATTAAACCCAATATGATCTAAATCTAACTCTCTTCCCCTCTCTCAGGTTACTCTTTTTGTTCAGGGAGTGAATGAGAAGGGAATCTTGTCGGGAAAAAAAAATATTTTAAGCTAAAAATCTTAAATAAAAAAATATTACAAGAAACAAACAAAGCTCTGGATGATGAATAGAAAGAATAACTATAAATGTAATGATACATAGATATTTGTCTTCAGCTAAAAGAAAAAAAAGATCAGAAATAAGCTATAACAATTCATCCTGTAATCAACAAATTATCTATTAAACCATGTGAACTAGATTTTATCTAATTTGATGTACTTTAGATCAAAATAATTGATAAGTATATATAAGGATTACCCATTAAATCATGAAAGATAAAAGTCAAAACTTCCACTATTAGCAGATTAGGATTTCAGCGGAATAGTTTGAGAAAGAGAGGGAGAGTTAAATTAGGATTTGATTTGCATCCATTTGGATTGACCTGGTAAGAGCATCTCCAGTAGTAGTGTATATATTTTTGTGTAAATCTGACGTATCAGAGTAGACTTACACAAAAATTTTGTACTACCTATTTTTAGCTCCAACGATTATTTTATACCTTTTGCGTAAAAAAATATCCTCCAATAATAACCTACCACGCCTCATACCTAAGGCCCTACATAACTTTTACAAATCTACTTGATTCACTCTACTTTTTGGCAATTAAACCTCACGTCTCAATCTTCCTTAATTAGGAAAAAAATAATAATTTCCCTCCATATTTCACTTTCCCATCCCGCCAAAAGAAAACTTTCCCACCAAAATTCTGACTTAATAATAAATAACCAGCATACAATTTAGGGTTTAATTGACTAAATCACCAAGAAAGAAAAAAGAAAATAATTTGTATAACTGCAATTGACAACAATTATATAAAACGTGATTAAAATATAAATCTAAAAACTAAAAAAACCCTAGAATTTACGGCGATGATTGCAGAAGATAAAATCAAACAAAGAGACGAATCAAACTATGTTCATTAAAAATAAATAAATAAATAAAAGATATTCAAGTAGTTCTTACCTTGCTGCCAGTTGCAAATTTTTTTCTATGGTGTTCTAGAAAAGTGGGAAATAAAGAGGCATGAAAGAATGAGAGAGAAGAAAGAAAAACGCGGGTGGGAAAGGGGGAAGAAAGAGAAACTATTCTTACGTGGCTGTGTAAAAGGGTTGTGTATTTTACACAACTCGTTTACACATTGGTGATGTGGTAGTGTATATTAACAGACTGCTGGAGATGAAAAAAATTTACAATTCTTATGTGGCAGTGTATATTTTACACAAAAAGATTTTTTAAGATATCGCTGGAGATGCTCTAAGCATTCAAAATATATAATTTTTATTATTTTCTATTTTAGAGACACTTGTCACATTACTTTTACGCTACATCAGGGGTAAGCATGTACTTTCTGCTCACCGATGAGTAGGCAAGTATTGTCCTTTTTTTTCTTTTTCTTTTTTCCTCACTATTACGATTCCATGTTCTTCCCTTTTTTTTTTTTTTTTCTTTTTTTTTTTTTTTTTCGCCTTTCTCCTTATATATACACATATATGTGCCAAGGAAGTCAAGGCAATCACATTACTAAAGTTTGCTTGAAACACATGCCGAAGCGAGCAAAATTAGCAAATATAATATATACTGTATATATTTCTCTCTCTCTATATATATGCACCGTTTTCCTGTAGTTCTTCTTCTGTTATGTGTTGTTTTTCTGGATTCTTATTTTTTAGGGTTTTCATTCTTTCTTCTGAGAATGTTCAAATTTCAACTCACTGGGACCCATGAAGTGAAAGTCAATTTATTAAATAATAGATATGTTCTATACGGAAGTTATATATATATATATATATATTAGAAGTTTGGTAAATATGAATTTAACTCAACCAGCCACCAAGTTAGTTTTTTTACTCTTTACTAGACCAATTCAGTGAGAGAGTAACTA